GGACCCTTTAAGTCGAAAGAAAGGGCTTCGTTGTGTGGACGTGTCCAGGCTTAATTCGGTTTAACGCTGCTAAAGTCGACCTAAACCCGTAGTGTAGACCAGGCCTTAGAGGCCTTAGCGTGGTGGAAAGAGTGTTATTTTTTGCGGGGGGGACCACCTGAAAAATGCTACAGCTCCCTTTGTCCACAGCATGTACACTTCCTCTCCCCAGTGCCCTCCCTCCCCCATTTCACAGTCAAACTGCAGATGCCAGCCTGAAGTGTGGATCTTGAACCTGGCACAAGTGTACGTGTGGCGTTGGCTCAGGCTAAATAAAGAACATTTCAATGGAGCGAGGGAGCTACAAATGGGAAAGAAGCCCTCTACAAACATTAACACTGCTTACCAACCTTTATCCAGTTACTTTTTGGTAATTTAATTATGCACAGAACTACATTAAGGGAGAGACAGAGGTAGCCCATCAAAGACTCATCCTGCAATTCCTAGAGCACATATCAAAAATACTTTGACATATCAGATACTTCAAATTAAGCAGTAGTTTAATATAAAAAGCATTTTACAGATGCTTAGAAAGCTTATTAGCTTGCTCAAAGCAAAGCCTCTAATTCTAAACAGCAGGCCCTATTCCCAGAGTATGTTTGTGGTTTGACTTCTGACAAGATACCACCAGCCACAAACACTCAGAAATATTAATGAAGGGAGGGGGCTTTGGGAGGGGGGTTGTTTTGCATAATTAATTCTGACATGAAAATCAAAAGTTGGGCGAGCTGGGGAATAGGGAAGAAGAATGCTAGAGGAATTTGAAAAAGAAGGTGTGAGAGGAGACACACGCAGGGACCCCACAGGAGAAGACGCAGCCTGCTGAGATGGTAAAATTAGCAGGATATTCTGGAAGGGCTTTTAAGAAATCGCTCATGCAGAAGTTTATTAAAATATTAATTCTGATTTTTCCACATCTAAAGATAGACTGCTGGGCATTTTTTTAAATGACCATCATTAGCTTGAAGACAAACAAGATAAAGCCGCAGGTTTGCCATAGCTGACAGCTCTGCCACGATTCAATATTTTTTGAGGTTTTTCAGTTTAAAAAAATATATATTTTGGGCTTAAAATTTCATTTGATTTTTTCCAGTGAAAAAGCAATTTTTTTGCCAATTCTTTTATCAAGAATTTTAATCGCAAAATCAATTTTTGCCAGACATTTTTAAAAATAAATTGTTTGCTGAAAAGTCAACATTTTTGCCAAAAGTTTTTATTTTTTAGGTTAAATGAAAAAATTATTCTTTTGGCCAAAACCTAGTTTAATAGATTTTTTTGATGAAAAATCAATGTTTTTCCATTTTTAAAAGACACTCTCAAGTGAAAAATTAATATTTTTGACCAAAATAATGTTAGGGTTTTTTTTAAATGAAAAATTGATTTGTATTGCCAAAATTGTTTTTTAGGTTTTTCAATTAAAAAAAAATCAGATCTTTTGGCTTAATATTGAGCAGCTTTCATTGTGTGTGTTTTGTGTGTCCAGTACTTCCCTGGATGTCTTCATGGGATGATCAACACTGTTTTTAGAACAGACACAAGTGCACACGCTGCATCTCTTTGCTGGCAGCATAAAGATGCAGGTCTTTTCCACTTGTGTTCATCCGGAAGAAGGCAAAGTACATCCTGAGAATGCCTGTAAAGCTGCCAGGTGTTGGGACACTGGTCTTTGTAACGTATGTTGTGTACACGACCCTGTCACCATAGTACTTCACAAACGTTTAAGAATTTATCCTCGCCACCCCCCTCTGAGGTAGGGAAGGATTTATCCCTATTTTTCCAATAAAGATACTGAGGAACAGAGAGACTTGCTCAAGGTCACACAGGGAAGAAATCGCTCCTGCTTCCTAAGGCCTGGGCTCTGATGGCGATTCAATGTCAGAATGAGGCCCATGGTAGTAATGGTCTTCTCCCCGGCTATCCAGAAACTTTTAAGAGTGCTCTAAGAACTTACTGCACCTATAAATTAGGTAACTGTTTGTTTAGTGTGATGAAGCAATTTAAAGCAAGACACATTCTCATAATGAGGCTGTCTGTGACCATTTCTATGTTTAGCTGTTTCCAGAAGCTACGTGCACCAGAATATTTTATATTGTAGGCACCACGGAGACATACTATTTGCCAATTGAAAGAACCTTATACCCTAGATCAGTGGAACCATCCATTTACAGCATCCTGAATTAAATCTAGACTTTAAGACAGTGGCTAAATGGCCGAGAGCTAAATAATTCTAGCTGCATAAACTCTCTACTTCAATTGGCACAAGGCAGCAAAAGCAGGTATTTAATTTAAATCATCTGCAACTCCATGAGCACATTTACATATCAATTGGCATAATTAAATGCCTAGTAGTTTATTCCAAATGCAGATTCACATTTGCTTTGTGCAGTGTGACAATTATAGGTCAAGAAGATTCATCGCTTGTTAAATCTCTGTTCTCTCTCACCAATTGTTTGATTTTTAATTAAATATTTATATCGCCCATTAAATTAAATTAAGGGATGATTAAGATGCTAATGGTTTTACTCAAGCCACAAGTTTAACAGAAGGGTTGCAATTCCATTTAAAGAAATGTTTGCAGCTTTTCTCCCTCCTGCTGATCATCCTCTTCCTCTGGCGGTTGGGCATGTGTTATTAATAAGAGAAGAGGAAAAGTTGGGGAAATGGGACAGTTGCCAGAGCTCAGTCTCAGGCCGAGGCAGTTGAGAAGAAACAGAGTGATTCTATACAACAATGGCACAGGGCACAAGGCTGACCAGCACGCGTGCGCAGGCCAAATGGACACTGGTATGAGCAATCTCTGATTGAAGACGCAGGGGGCACTAGCACACCTAGAGTGGAGCACCTGTAGGAACACTACGTGAAGAAGAAATCAGAGTTAAGAAGAAGGGCCTGACCCCTCGTGCTGTCATTTACGGTTGTACACCACAATGAGAGCGCTCTACTCCGTCATGCAACTGGAAGCATTTTACACCCATTGTCCCCAGGTATACAGGACAACATAAGTTGCAAGTCAATGAAGAATCAGGCCCCACAGCTCTAACTTCAGGTGACTCGGCCTGCTTGTTTGGAATATGATGGCCTAATGCAGAGATAATCCGTCCACGATACCAACCCAGAAGGAGGAACTGGAAGCCTATCACACAACAAATGGCATCTGCAACTCCTGCAATGCAAGAATAAGTCGTGTGAACTTCTGTTTCACTACAGGGGTTCATGCAAACCTTTCCTTTGGCTATGACTCATGTAGAATTGAACCTCCTGAGTACTGATTTGTGTTTAGGGTTTGAGGTCACTGAGGAGATAATACACTCTTTAAAATCCCCCTCCCCCCCAGCTATTATAGTGCTAAAGGATCCATGAAATCATTTATACAAACAGAACAGATTTTTATAAAGCCCCTAAGTATGCATTTTAGAAATGGTTCAGCCATAGGGTATTGTGTGAGTCAGCAGAGATTATGGTTCTGTATTTAAGGCATTTAACTGATTGTTTTGTCAAGTTAATACTGGAAGTAGCAGGGTTTCTTCAGCTTAATTTAGAGAGTGGCAGAAAAGAACACCTATTGTAAGCATTTTTAATCTGTCCATTACAATGATGTACAGGCATCATATGCAAAAGTTTCAAGCATCATTTAACATAATTGAGGCAAAAAGCTCAGCAAGTTCCAAAGAGGATTTATTGGGGGGAGTGGGGGGAAATCAATCCTTTGCTGGAAAGACTGCAAAAGCGCTTAACTGATGCACAGGGCTTTGAGTGGGGCCTTGTACATAGGGGTGAATTTCACCCTCCAGTATATAACTAAACTAGGGTAAAAGTGACAAGGACCATGAATCCTAATGCTTCAGGGCAAACCTTGATTCTTAACTAAGATCAGGAAGATCTCTTCCCCATTATAACACAGAGTTGCATATTTAACTAGAACAATGAGGAGTCCGGTGGCACCTTAAAGACTAACAGATTTATTAGAGCATAAGCTTTTGTGGGTTAACAAAAAAAAAAAAAACCCACACTTCTTCTGATGCTTATGCCCAAATAAATCTGTTAGTCTTTAAGGTGCCACCGGACTCCTCGTTGTTTTTGTGGATACAGAATAACATGGCTACCCCTCTGATATTTAACTAGGTGCAGCATATGAGTTTCACAGATCCACTGCAACACTTGGTATTGACCACTGGGTGAGAGGAGACACTGGATTTGATGCAGCAATTGTCTGCCCGTCTCAATTCTTCTGGCCCTATCAAATCAGTCAGTAAAGAAAAATTTATCAATGGCCTTTATTTTCTTTGACATTGCAAAAAAGGAAGTCAGGAGTGAATTTAACTAAAGCTTGGAGAAGATTCCCTATGACCTTCAGCAATTTCAAGCTCCTGAATCAACCCTCCTGCTATTTTAAAAGCAGCTTCCTGGAGTGACATGCTCACTCAATATTCATGCCCACTTCCTGCTCTTACTGGCCCCTTTATTGTTTTGACAGATATAACTAAATTTCCATACAAAACAGTGGCAAAAGTCGGAGAGCTCAGTAGTCGATGCAAGAGGAAGACTGGAAACTATGTTTTCCCAATGCTTATTTAATACTCCCGTTAAGCATGGGTAATTAGGATCTGATGTGAAATGTATTAACATAAATCCCATTACTGAAACCAACTAGCTACAAAAGAAAACAGTATAGCCTCTAAAGCAACAAGTTAAAACATTTTTGCATATTTTACATTTCTAGGACCATTTCCCATCCCACAGTACTTCTCTGTCTATACTGTAGTAATAAAACAAAACCACCACTATAGCAGGACAGTACTATACTACAGGGTGTCGTGCATGAGCTGGCAAAGCAGTGCTGCACAAAACCCACTATCCTTATAGAAAGTTCCCTTCATTAAAGTTCAGGACATTGTTTCCCAAGGGAACAGGTAGTCTGGAATACCAATTGGGATTTTCCAAAGGAACTGAAATGCATTAAGCACCCAACTCCCACTAACTTCTACTTTCAATTAATTTAATACCCTTAGACCAGTGGTTCCCAAACTTGTTCCGCCGCTTGTACAGGGAAAGCCCCTGGCGGGCCGGGCCGGTATGTTTACCTGCCGTGTCCGCAGGTTCGGCCGATCGCGGCTCCCAGTGGCCGCGGTTCGCTGCTCCAGGCCAATGGCAGCTGCTGGAAGTGGTGGCCGGACGGCCACCACTTCCAGCAGCTGCCATT